CACGGTCATAGTGAGCGATCATTGGTTGAACACGTAACACAGCCCTTAATCGTTTTCGTGCCGCAGGCCCGGATTCCCTCCCACCTGCGCTATTTAAGGATGGAGGTGAGGTCCTCTGCAAAGCACTGACCTCCCTACTCGAATGTATCTGGAAGGAAGAAAGTGTCCCGGCTAATTGGAGCGAATCGATTATAGTGGCAATATACAAGAAGGGCAGTCGTACAGATTGTTCCAACTACAGGGGTATTAGCCCAAATCCAGTTGTGACAAAATTACTGGCCTCGATTATCGTTCGTCGCCTCACTGCGGAACGGGAGTCTCGGATTAGGGAAGAGCAGGCCGGTTTCCGCCCAGGACGTGGTTGTATAAACCATATATTCACGTTGCCGCAGGTGCTAGAGCAGCGCCACTCATACCGCAGACCGACAATAGCTGTGTTCCTCGATTTCAAGAGTGCGTTCGATTCAGTCGATCGATCGATTCTGTTCGATTCAGTCGATCGATCGATTCTGTTCGATTCAGTCGATCGATCGATTCTGTTCGAATTACTTGCGCGAAAAGGTGTTCCCACGAAATATGTGAACATTCTTCGTGCTCTATACTCGAACACTACAGGCCGCGTCAGGGTCTATGGTGTTCTATCGGATAGCTTTTCGACTACAAATGGCGTTCGACAGGGTTGTCCGATTTCCCCGTTTTTGTTCAATTTCGTCGTGGATTCTATCATGGAGTGTTCCCTTGCGGAATCTCACGATGTAGGTGTTGATGTGCTGCCTGGTGAACGGTTAGTTGATCTAGATTATGCGGACGATATCGTCTTGCTTTTCGACAATGTTGAGGCGGCACAATCAACCCTGAATAGCCTATCCAGAGTGGTCCCATTATTTGGAATGCACTTCGCACCTTCAAAGTGCAAAGTGTTGCTGCAAGACCACCAGCCACTTGATGACCTCTTGACCCTTGCTAAAGAGGAACTCGAAGTGGTTGATCATTTCACTTATCTTGGCAGCTGCATCGGCAATGATGGGCGCATAGAAACTGACGTGAGCTCACGCATTGCAAAAGCCAAAGCCGCCTTCTTGAACCTGCGGCATCTTTGGCGACAGAAGGGAGTTTCCCTTCATCTGAAAAGCCAGGTATACAAGGCCACAGTGAGGGCCGTTCTGCTCTATGGTAGGGAGACTTGCCCCCTTCGGTCTGAAGATCTGAGGCGCCTTCAAGTCATTGATCACCGTTGTCTGCGAAGCATTGCTGTAGTCGGATGGCACCAGCGTGTCCACAACGATGATGTGCGTAGGCGAGTACTAGGTGGTGATGATCATGCTAGCTCCCTAGAACAACAGATAGCACTGAATAAGTTGCGTTGGCTCGGGCACGTGTTACGTACGCCTGATCACTGCTTACCTAGGAGGGCCTTGTTTAGTCTACCAGGTGTCGGATGGCGCAAGGCTCGAGGTGGACAGAAGTTGACTCGGCAGCGGGAAATGAAGTCACTGACGACCAAACTGGGTGCCGTTGGTCCGTCTCGCCTTCCGGGTTGGAGTCCACGTGACTCACCTTGTGCTTGGCTCGAGACTTTACAGGACATGGCTCGCAACCGACACCAGTGGTGCGTCTGCTGCCGTCTCCTAATCGGATTGTCTGTTTAAAGTGTGTTTGGTGCTGCGTTATCTGCGGGGTAATGGCTGATTATGGCGCGTGGCAGTGAAAGCTGCAAGGAAGCTGTCTCGCCGTTGCCGCCTTATGTTTGCACGATAGCCAGCTGTTTGTGACGGTATGTTGTCTACACAAGATGTAGGCGCCTTGTCCCTGAATGTTTGCTTAGGGCATTAAGGTTTTCAGGTAAGTCCCCCTTTTCTCCCTCTTCTTATTCTTTATTTCATAGGTCCTCATGGTTGTATGGCAGCGAAGCATCAGTTCAAATGGCTGATGTACTGCTGTTGATGATGGATTTTGATATACTTCCCGAATAAAACATAAATAAAGACACACAAAAATTTTGCCCTATATTCAGTCTTTTGGCACCTGATTGTGGCTGTTGAGTAGGACAGGACATGTATGGTAGGTTCGGAATCAAAGTAGAATTAGGCTCCAACCAAGTTAGTTTCGACTCGTAGTAAAAACACCCGAATTGGAATTGGAATAACAATACTCAATCATTGAATATTGTATGTACAATCATTACATTCTCCGAAGTTTGAATGCAAATCCAGGTTTCTGTTTTTTAGGTTGGGATTTCTGTGGCAATCTGGTGGCTTTTCTTGGAAGCTGTCTTTGCTCAGAACTCTCGTGAGAATCTGAAACTGAATTGTCATTATTTTCAGTGCACACGGACTCAAATGACAACTGACCGGAATCCTTATATCGTACCTGGGCAACATGCTGTTTATGTACAGAGCAGTCCAAGAGATACAGAAATTTAACCCCTCGACTTCCAAGTTTGTCAACAGTGATTCCGGATGAAAGGCGTAAATCATTGCCTTTAAAATAAGATCCTTCAGCGGTTCCCAAACCAAGCATGTTCGAACTCAGTGGTCGGTATTTACAGTTTACCGGGTGTATCCAGTGATGGAATGTACGTAGTTACGGTAAAGAGGAAGGAAGTTATTAACACAACAAAAAAGTTCATCAAAAGAACTAGGAGCTCAGGAGGTAACAAAAAGTTTTAAAGTTGCAACAAAGTTTTCAGCTAGGCCATTAAAGTGTGGATGTCGTGGAGCAGTAAAAGGTGACGAAACCCAAGACTCTGCAGCTAATTGGTAACAAGTGAAGCTGAAAAGGGCGAGCCATTGTCAATTACAACAGTTATTGGGACTCCATCACCACTAAATACTTTTCTCAATGCACGGACAGTAAAAACAGCATTTGCTTTATCAGTCAAGAAGACTTCTGGCCATTTTGAAGGAGAGTCAGTCCAAAGTCCACAAAAAAACGTTTTGAAATTACCAAAAAAGGGAAAAACCCTTTGAAACCCAAAAACAACTTTGCACGTGTTTCGCTTTACACTCATTTGTGTATTGGTATGCATTTACGCTGCTTTTTCATTTTGCTTCCCATATACACCGTCGGCTGGTTGCTCCTCGATTTCGCTGGATCACCACACGTCAACTGGAAGTGGAACAAACTTCCTGCTCAACCACCTAAGTGAACTTTACTGTCTCCCCACAAACAGTCTTTTTACCGTTTCGACACCGTAGGGAGGACACGGGTGGGAGCCCGCTAGGGGCCGATTGCATGGTTCTCCCCCAGCAGCTGCATCAGGTTGCACAACCCGGTCTTGCAGAAGGTTGGCTCGCGACGGTGAGTCCTCACGTAGATCGAAGTACTGCTTACACAGTCCCTTCTAGGGGAGAGCTATGTAGCAGTCTGGAGATTCCCCGGGTCGCCTGTGTAAAATTCTAACTAAAATTATTTCATTGTACACCTAGGCAACCGGTGTGGTTTGTTGAACTGATTGCTGAGTTCGAATGTTTGACTTGGTCATCGCCATTTTTGCTTGGCACTTGTTACGGTTGCAACGCGCGATTGCCCTGTGTGCTGTTGATCGATCCTCGGTTTCTTTAGCTAGAACGTCAAAGATGTCGTTTTTTGCAGCTAGGTAACAGGGCATCTTTTACTGTACCAATAAAATTTTCCATGCAACCCGAGCTACCTTTTCGAATTGCTCTCCGGGCTCCCGTTACAGGCTACCCGCTAAATATTCAAGTGGAATCTATCATTCGTTTCCGTAAGATTACCTCGCAGTCTACGATATTTTCATATGTTAATGGCCAGTTACATTCACACATGACTTCAGAGGTTATCGAGATCCTCGACCCTATGCCGATTGGCTCACCTTATTATAAGCTTAAAGCAGCTATCTTAAAACGCATTACCTTATCCGACGAGGCACGCCTCCAACAGCAGCTCTATGGAGTCGAGCTTGGTGATCGTACATCGTCTTAGCTCCTCCGACATATGCAGTCACTTGTCGGTTCGTCAACTTTGGATGATTCCATTTTCGCCAACTCTGGATTAATTGTCCTCCAGCAAACAAAACGGCGATATTAGCTATTTGGCTGATGACCTTCCACTGAATAAGCTGGCGGAACTGGCCGACAAGGTACACGAAATGTTCTTTAAAAATGCAGCTAATCATGTGGCTGAGGCGTCTACTACAAGCACTTCAGGGAGTGCCACACTAGACTCCATTAGTGAGAGGCCCTCAGCGTTGGAACTCAGCATTTCGCACCTTAGCCGCGGTCGAATACCGTACCAAAGATCCTCTTCCACAAGGCCTCGCAGCAACTACCGCAGACGAACATCGCGCTGTTACTGCTACTTCCATAGCAGCTTTGATACACCTAGGCCACCTATGTGGTTTGTTGAACTGATTGACGAATTCGAATGCTTGACTTGCTCATCGCCGTTTTTGCTTGGTGCTCGTTACGGTTGCAATGCGCAACCGCACTGTGTGCTGTGCATCCTCCATCGCCTAGCTAGAGTGTAAACGGCGTCGCTTTTCTATATCTAGGTGACAGAGAATCTATTACTGTACCAATGAAAGCTTCCATGCAACTCGATCTGCCTTTTCGAATCGCTCTGCGAGCTCCCGGTACAGGCTACTCGCTAAATTGGTGACCCCGACTCCGGAAGAATCTCAGCGCCGGATATTTTGGACTTTTCTCCGGTGAGCTCGTTCCACATATTTTTCATATTTTCCGGTTTATTTTTGCAGACAGTAGCTTTTCCGCGTCATTTTTAAACCATGGAATCTGTAGACCCTAATGTAGAGTCTCTCCTTAGACTTGTAGTGTTTCTTTCAGCTTTCCTTACATAACCTTCCGGTCAGCTGATAATATTACCAGCTGCATCGACTATTCTTTTAAACGCTTCACACATCGATCAATTTTCCTTTTGAATAGCCGGCTGACTCTAGACCGCCTCGTGTATAACATCTGGGAGCTCCAAATATACATTTATGGGAATACACGTATTAAATCCCTTTTGGCATCCGAGAATGACGGGTTATTAAACCAGCAACTCCGCAACCAAAAGGCGTTACCAAAATCCAACAGACTTGTATCTCTGTCTGTGCCAACTTTTTGGGACAGGGATCCTCTTTTGTGGTTTGCACATCTCGAGGTTTGGTTTTATAACCACAGAACCACTTCCGACTACGCGAAGTATTACAAGCTCATGTCCTATCTCCC